GTTATAATGATTAGTAGGTTTAATGTTTTTTTCTAATAATAAAGAACAAGAAAAATATGTTTCACAACTTGATATTTATTTATATTAAAAGGTAACAACTGGATATAGAATATGGAGAATGCTAAAAAAGATAATGCCTCTCAAGCAGTAGACCAAAAACATAATACACAGGACACTGTCCGACGACAGAGTCTAATTTCAATTGCGGCGCTTCTCCTGTTTCTATGGTAAAGCCCTCTGGAGTGTCCGGGACCAGGTTGCACGTGATGAAATTTTAGCCAATGAGCTGCTGTCATTCTGGGTTGCAAATGGTGAAATGGTGAAAGAAAAGTGAAATGCCTTGCTCAAAGGTGACCCTGCACATTTTCAGTATGTTTGGCTCAACCTACTTGTGTGTACTTGAAATACAGGTTTTTAATATGATTTTATTTGGTATTTAATTCGATTCCTTCCTAACTAACATATTTATGTTTTTTTTTTTATCTGAGAAGGAAAGCATACATTTATAGAAATTAAATGCTCAAATTAAGAGATTAATTAAAAGATTAAGTAAAATAGTCTTTATTTTAGTTATTGTACGTTCAACTTGTGGACAATCATCAATACTTTTGAGTGAGAGGGGAACTCATGGTACGAAAAATTGCCAAAAGGGGAACGCAAGTCAAAAAAGGTTGGCAAAGACTCATTTATATATATTTGAGCATTTGGCGGCATCCTCCTCCTCCAGCGCCTTTCTTTTTTTGTCTCTCTCCCTCTTAGCTCTGCCTTCCCTCTTCCTTTTACTGCGTTCTTCTAACACAGAGCCCATTGCTTCTTATCCTCGTTTGCACCGCTCACTGGCTAGACACACCTCACAGCCGGCACCAGACACATGTCACACACCCCTTCATCCACACCGTTCTGTCTGTGTCCTTCCTTAAATGCTACTGGCCAAAGTGGCCTAGTCTGTCCGTCTGTCTGACAGGTTCGCTGCCACTGCGCTGGCAGACTTAAAAAAAAAAAAAAAAGAGAGAGACAGGCCAATCCCAGGCCAGCGCTTCAGGAATACTCCCGGTTCTCCCTATGGCCAGTTCAGGTATAAATTCCACATATAACAGACATATTAAGACTGTATTTTGTTAAATAGCCAAATATTTACCTTCTGTCTTAATCACTGGTTAAATTCAA